ATTGAGAGTCCGCCTGCCGATGCAGGGGACGCGGGTTCGTGCCCCGGTCCGGGAAGATCCCACATGCCGCAGAGCGGCTGGGCCTGTGAGCCATGGCTGCTGAGCCTGCAGGTCCAGAGCCTGTGCTCCGCAACGGGAGAGGCCACAACAGTGAGAGGCCCGCGTAGCACAAAAAACAAAAACAAACAAACAAACAAAAAAAACTCAATTTGGTCATCCTATTCCCCCTCCAGCATGTCAAACACCTTGCCTATTATAGGCATTCAATAACATTTTCCCAATTAATGTTGGAAGAGAGAAAATAGTAATGTTTTCCCTTGATGGAAGTGAAAGTGGTCCCGTCTTAGTTTCTTGAGGAGCCTCCATACTGTTTTCCATAGCGGCTGCACCAATTTGTATTCTCACGACAGTGTACTAAGTTTCCCTTTTCTCCAAGTCCTCACCAACGTGGTGGTGAGGTCTTTTTGATGACAGCCATTCTGACAGGTATGAGGTAATGTCTCATTTTGGTTTTGATTTGCATTTTTCTGATGTTCAGCGATGTTGAGCATCTTTTCATGTGACTGTTGGCCATCTGTATATCTTCTTTGGAAAAATGTCTATTTAGGTCTTCTGCACATTTTTTAACGGGGTTTTTTGTTTTTCTGACATTGAGTTTTATGAGCTGCCTATATATTTTGGATATTAACCTCTTATATGTCATATCATTTGCAAATACTTTCTCCCACTCAGTAGGTTGTCTTTTAGTTTGGGCAATGGTTTCATTTGCTGTGCAAAAGCTTTTAAGTTTAATTAAGTCCCATTTCTTTATTTCTATTTCCTTCTTAAAAATAACTTTTGTTAGATGTTTTTCTGACTATAAAACAAAAATAAATCACCTTGTTGGAAACTTGGAAAATTTAGAAAAAAAAAAGTTAAAATTTGATGCCCTGGAATAGACTCATATTGATTCGAGAGATTGAATTGCACGCATTTCTTCCCAGCTTCAAGCTCAAAGACATCATATTGGTTGAAACTGGCCGTGATAGGAGTATTTACACAACAGAATGATAAATGCTATGAATCAGGGCTTTTTTTTTAACCAACACACAACTGATATACCGTCTTCCCCTTTACACAACTTAGGTCTCGAGGCCACCTTGAGACTGTAACACCCTCCAACCCCACTTAAGGCTGTACTATCGGATTGCGGGGGCGTTCTGCCTAAATCCCCCTTTTCTCAAAGTAACTGGATTGAGCCTCTGCTCCTTACATCTAAACAGGCTTCACTAGAACAGAGACAGAGCAGTATCAGGACACTCTTCCAGCTGACCCGTACCCTGGTCAGCACACCGCCCCTCCTCCTCGGACACTGTTGTCATCCCCACCTCCAAGTACTTGACATGGCAGCCACATCTACAGCCCAGCTTGGCACCTCCAAGCTTCTACACCTGCCCTGAAGGCAAATCCAGTTTTCCTATAAAGGAAATTTCTCAATAGACACTGATTTTTGAGCCATTTAGCCCATGTAACCTCTCACTCCTTATCCTATTAGGACTTCATGTCACAGTTTGCCGCTTAGCTAAGCTTGCTCAAGCTATTAAGGGGTTCTATTTTTCTCTTTTTTGGCTGAAACTTCCAACTTCCAGTAATTTGCCAAAATGACCAACACAAAGAGAAAGAAGAGAGGCACCCACTATAAGTTCTCTAAGCCTTTTAGAAAACATGGAATAGTTCCTTCAGCCACATCCATGTGAATTTACAACAAAGGTGATATTGTAGATGTCATGTTCAAAAAGGAATTCCCCACAAATGTTCCCAGGGAGAAACTGGGAGAGTCTAGTGTTACACAGCATGCTGTTGGCATTGCTGGAAACAAACAAGTTAAGGGCAAGATTCTTGCCAACAGAAGTAATGTACACACTGAGCATATTCAGTCCTCTAAGAGCTGAGATAGCTTCCTGAAATGTGTGAAGGAAAACGATCAGAAAAAAGAAGGAAGCCAAGAGAAAAGTGCTTGGTTTCAACTGAAGTGCCAGCCTGCTCGCCCGACAGAAGCACATTTTGTGAGAACCAGTGCAAAGGAGCCTGAGCTGCTGGAACCCATTCCCTATAATTCATAGAATAATACGTGTAAAAAAAAAAAAAAAAAAGACCTCTGGGCTGTGAAAAAAAAGTTATTAAGGGCTTTGGTGGCAGCCCTCAGGTTTGGAATTCATGGAAGAACACTGGCAGTGGGAAGAAAGAGGGTGCAAGGCAAGACTCCAGTCCTGGAACAACAGCAATACCAACCACGGCACTCAAAGGACTGTGGACTAGAGATGGACATAAAGTCAAAGCAAGGTCAGCTGGTTATAGCTTATGGAAAGGATTTTAAGAAACAGATCAATGTCTCCGTTTCTTTTTCTGTAAATTGTAGATATCCACCTTGATGTGTTGTGAAGAGGGGGAAATGAGTTAATACATGTGAAGCCTTTAGCACAATGCCTGGCATATAGTAAGCACTATGTAAGCATTAACTATTATTATTCAAACATTCCTGTAGAAAAGAAATTGTGTGCATTTCATTCTAAATCTGGCTTCTGGCTCCAGACCAAAAAACTCCTTCAGTACAATAGCCTTTGTTAGTATCCACAGGCTGTTTATTGTCCCCATGTTATCTTGGATCATTTCCACATAGTACAGAGGGGCCAATAGACCACCATCTCCCCGGGGAAAAAAACATTCCCATCACTCCACCCTGTGCGTCAGAAATACTATTCTACCTAGAGTCACAATTTATAGAAGTATTTATCCATCTGAGAAATTCTTCCCAGAAGTAACCTGGATTAAAGAGGTAATTTGAAACTACATTATCCCACATATCTCTCTCTATATATATATATATATCTCACATTATATGTATTATATTTATTTATAATATGAAAATATATTATTTTCAAAGAATATATTCAAAGATATATATTATGTATATTCATTATAAACATTAATATGTTATAGATGATACTATTACAATGAAGAGATGTAATAGTACCTCTTACTAGTTGAGATGCTACTGGGTCAAGTGTTCTGTGTGTTTTATCTCATCTTATTTCCTTATATCCTGAGAATTTGATAAAATAGGTTGCTTTCCTCTTTTTGCAGCTGAGGAAACCAAGGCTCAAAACTGAAGTTGGGTGTTTTGTTCCAGGTCACACAGGCTGTACTAGGTAAGTCAGTAATAGCGTCTGATTTGTCCATGCCCTATTCTAATGGAAAATTCCCAGCCCACCTCCTCTGTTGCCCAGGAAGCCATTTTTGGTACTACATGACTCCACTGCTTCCCCTTGTTACTAACTAGAGTGGATGCCCCCATCCAAAGACAGCCAAGTGTATATAGAGATTAGTTCAAGGACATATACAACTGGCTCAACAAGATCAGATGGGACAGCAAGAGTCTCTCTCTCTATTTTGAAATAAGAAACACAGAGTTTGCCATTTGAGAGCAGAAAGAGGCGGCAAAAAGGTGTATCAAGAGATGCCACAGACAGATTCAGAACCATGCCAAGTTAAAGCCATTTGCAAGCCAAACTTCTGAAAAGCAAAAACTGTAAGTAAGCAGAGGGACTTGGAAGGTTAAAGAGGAGACTGAAGCTGACATGTAGAGAGTAGCCGAGACAGGTCACCCTGAGACTGGGTGGAGAGCCATGGGCTCCTGGTGCTCCTGGGGCTGCTCTGAATCTGGATCCACCTTCTAGCTCTAGTTACAGCTCTGCTCTTGGATTTCAGAGAGATTTCTGCCTAGATCCCACTTGTCTTGAAGTAGCTTGATAGAGACTTTGCTCATTATATTCAGCTGGGCCTCACTGGGGCAGAAGCAGAGCAGTGCTGAGATGCTCATCTGTCTGACCCCCACATGCTAACCACTGCACTACCCTTCCTGCGCGAACCAGGGATGTTGCCAGGTGCCAAGATGGGCCTCGAAAAAAGATCAGAAACCATAGCTGCAGCCAGTGCTGATTCAGTTTTGCTATTTATACCCAACCCTACAGTGGACTTTCCAAATGAAAAGTCAAGGAGTAAATTGGAAACAGCAAAAATTCCAAAGAGTGGGTTTTGTCGATAAAAGCAGCCCCCAAACGTTTGCTTACTGCTAAGTACACGTGGAAAGCTACAGAATGGTAGGTACAAGATGTTTCTATTTCTGCAAACATAATAGTGTATGAAAATAGATAAAAGACCAGAAGGAAAGGCATTCATTCATTCATCAGATGTTTCATGAGTATGTTCTAGGTGCTCAGGATACAAGGGTGAGCAAAAGGAGACACAGTTCCTACCCTCAAGGATATTTCAGTCTAGTGAAGGAGATCAACACACACACTGCAATCACTCTAAATGTTTGAGGGAAATGTACTTGGCGGAAAACTTTATCAGGGGCAATGTGACCCAGTCAGAGAAGTCAGCGAGGGCTTCTCTGATGACTGAGCTGTGATGGATGAGTATGCAGTACCCGCATGAAGCGTTGTCCAGGCAGAGGCTATAGCATAGGCAAAGCACAGTGAGGAGGGACCACAGCAAGTATGGAGGAAGGCCATATGGTTGGAGTAAAAAAAGTAAAAAAGGTTGGGAGAGAATGGTGTGGGATGGAGCTGGAGAGGTAGGCAGGGCCAGATCATGTAAGGTCTTACAGGCCAGGTTAAGGAGTTTTGTCTTTACCTCTGAGAGATTCGGGGAGCCAGTGAGGATTGAGTGTGTAAGATATAATCAGATTTGCACTTTGACAATAGCTGTCTCTGTATGGAAAACAAATTACTAGGAGCCAGCACAGATAAGCAGGAAGAAAAGGGGGCCAGTGTGGAGTCTATCACAGTAATCCAGATGGCATCCAGATGGGAGCTCATTATACTATTTTTTTATATTTTAAATTTGAAATGTTTGGAAGAGTGTTTAGGGAGCACATAATCTCCAGGGAGCACACAATCTCCAGGGAGCACACAATCTCCAGCATGGATGGAGAACAAGGCTTGAAAGGTGCAGCTAAGAACAGGCTCAGAATCACTCTGAAGGATTAGCCCAGTAAGGACACCACTTTCCTTATGCCCAAGTTAAGATGCTGTAGTCGGGACTTCCCTGGTGGTCCAGTGGTAAAGAATCTGCCTTACAATGCAGGGGACTCTGGTTCGATCCCTGGTTGGGGAACTAAGATCCCACATGCCTCGGGGCAACTAAGCCTGCGTGCCACAACTACTGAGCCCGTGCTCCTCAAGTAGAGAGCCCACGTGCTCTGGAGCCTGCACCACAACTAGAGAGAGAAGAAACCCGCATGCCACAACTACTGAGCTCAGGTGCCTCAACTAGAGCCCGTGTGCCACAAACTACAGCACCCACGTGCCCTGGAGCCTGCGCACCACAACTAGAGGAGAGAAAACCCTCACGCCATAACTAGAGAGAGGCCACAACGAAAGATCCCACGTGCCTCAATGAAGACCTGACGCAGGCAGAAATAAATAAAATAAATAAATAATAAATCTTAAAAAAACAAAACAAATGCTGCAGCTTCCTCCACTGACACAGTACAGGGCAGGGATGCCACTGCCAGAGCCTCACCAGGGACTCAATCTTACAACAAGCTCCCAGCTGAGTAAATAAATCCAGCAGAGATGGTCACCTCTGGATGTACCCTTAGAATTAAAGTGTGAACCTGAACAGCTAAGGGTAAGACCGTAGCATAGTGTAGGGTGTAAGAGTTGGGGGACAGGGACTTCCAATCAATCTCATTTTGAAACAGCCAGGTGGCCTTCTCACCCTTAAAACATTTCATCTAGGGTGAAAAAATGTGAGCAAGTCTGTTTGACATTTCAAGCTACAGAATTTCAATACATCTTTAGACGAGAGTTGAAAAACAAGGAAAACATTGGGTCAATGAAGTCTACTCGTTCTATATCTCCATTTCAAGGGAAGCTTTCATGTATGTCTCTGGATATATCATCCACATTATCCAGAGATTCTCAAATTAATCTAAATTCTTTTAAACTTGACATACTGGAAACCTGATACAATAAATATGATTCAGTAGCTCTGATCTTTTATGATTCTCAGAATATATGTAGAAACATTTTAACACATACCAAAAGCATTCAGGAAGGACTTTTAGATGATCCCCATTCTGGGTTAACAACACTGCTGCTCAGAATTGTGGATATAATAAATGAGAAGATAAAATATTATTAAAGGGTACCATGTATAACCAATAGTCTATCCATCAACATACTTAGTCATCATTTTAATCCTTCCAGGTACAAATATAGCAGGAAATATTGAGGGGGACAGCACTCAAAAGTAGAAGTTCATGCTCACTTTTGAATCTCACACTGCCTTTTCGTAAATTGTCTCCTTCAGTATGGTGTGTGGAAAGGTGAAGTTATAGTAAACTAATTTAAGCCGGGGACTGGAAAACTTAGCCATCACTTTCTCAGAGGGATAATTGGAACTAGAGTGCTTATACCTGGAGAGAGGATCCTAGTGTGGAGAGAGTCAGGAGATCTGTCACTCCATTCTAAGGGTCTAGGGGCTCTGCTTGAACAGGAAAGCAGAAGACCATTAGAAAGGACCAAACTGGAGTCAGAACGACCTGAATTTTAATTCCAGTTATTGCATTTCCCCCAGTGTGGCCTTGACAATTTGCTTAACTTTGCAGATCCTCAGTTTCTTCATCTATAAAATGGGTTACCCATCTTATAGCATTGTTGTGGTTATCAAATGAGAGATGATTATGTAAAGTCCTTAGCACCAAACCTGACACACCATAGTGCTAAATAAATAACAACTATTATTAACTAACAAAAGTTTCAAACTCTAAGCAAAAAAGAGCAGAGACATAAATTCCCTCCAGACATGAGAACCATTTGGGCCACTGCCTGACTGACTGACATGTAAATTATGTCTAGCCCTCTCAAAATAACCCACCTTAACGGAAAGTCATTTCTCTGTCTGAAGTCGACAAAATACACTCCTCTCGCTAGGCTGCCCCTTTCCCTGCAGGCTCTGTCCTGGATCATAGACAGGTCCAAGATGACACTGATGATGGGGAGTTGAAATGGGCCCTTTTCCAGAATTTAAGTTTAAGTTTAATCAATATGTATTAAATGCCAAGCATGGGCCAGCCACAGTGCTGGACACTAGGGGATACAGAGGGGACTAAATATCCTCCAGCCCTGCCTCAAGGACCTCCCAGCCTAATGAGGCCAACATGAAAACAGAAAATCTCTGACTAGTACGTGGAACATGCAGGCTACTATGAGAAAATAAGACACCCTAAATTATATGAAGTTTTAAATCCAATCTTCATATATTTTCAACATTTTATTCTGTTCCTCAGTTTAGTTCTTTTCCTTAACAAATAAACACTCAGCAAATTGTCCTAAGTCCAATGTACATTCAAATGAGGAAACAAAGTCTACCACTCTGTTTGCTTCAAAAGTTACCGTCTTTGTCTCGAATGTGCTAAATTTGTGAGTTCTATGGTCCTTGTCCCTGGCATCAGAGGAGAGGTACCTAATACAGTCTGGAGAAGTCTATGCCAGAAAGGATCTTTATGTCACACTCTCTGTGAGAGTCACATTGGGGATTAGGGCTTTCAATGTATGAATTTTGTGGGGACGCGATTCAGTCCACAGCATTCTGCCCCTGGCCCCCAAAATTCATGTCCTTATTGCATGGAAATTACATTCACTCCATACCAACAGCTCCAAAAGTGTTAACTCATTCTAGCATCAGCTCTAAAGTCTAAAGTCCAAACTCTAAATATCTAAATCAGATGTAGGTGAGCCTAGAGGTATGACTCATCCTGAGGCAAACTCCTCTCCAGCTGTGAACCTGTGAAATCAGATAAGTTATGTGCTTCTCAATGGTGGGACAGGCATTTCCATTCCAAAAGGGAGAAATAGGAAAGAAGGAAGGGGTGATAAGTCCCGCAGGAAAGGCAAATTCCATTAGATCTTAAGTTTTGAGAATAACACTCTTTGGCTTGATGCCCAGCCTTCCAGACCCCCTGGGGCAGCAGCCCCACCTCCGCAGCTCAGCGGGCCAGGGTCATGCCCACAAGGTTCCAGTACTTTTAATAGAGAATTTAATATAGAGAATGTTTAACTAGGTAGTAAAGAATTGTTAACTAAGCAACCGAAAAGGCAAAAAAAAACCCACCACTAAGCTACCATAGAGGTAGCGAAAGCAGGAAGGAGTTCATAGCCCGGGGAAACCAAGGGAAGAGGTTGGAATTATTAAAACTTAGGGATCTGGAGGAGGGTACCAATGGATTGGAACCCAGACTTCTGAAGAAAGGGGGCCAGCCAGCAGTGATGTTATCTCTGCAGGGATGCCATGAGGTTGGCTTTGCAAGTTGGTAAAACCTCAAACTGGATTGAAGTGTATGTTACTTGCTAGGGCGGCCAGAACAAAGCACCACAAACTGGGTGACTTAACAGAAATTTATTGTCTCACATTCTGGAGGCTAGAAGTCCAAAATCAAGGGGTCAGCAGGGTGGGTTCCTTCTGAAAGCTGTGAAGGAAGGATCTGTTCAAGGCCTCTGTCCTTGGCTTATAGATGGTCTTCTCCCTGTGTTTCTTCACGTTGTTTTCCCTTTATGCATATCTCGGTGTCCAAATTTCCTCTTTTTATAAGGACATCAGTCATATTGGATTAGGGCCCACCCTCATGTTAACTTGCTTACCTCTATAAAGACCCCATCTCCAAATAGGGTCATATTCTGAGGTACTGAGAGTTAGGACTACAGCATATGAGCTTTAGGGGAACACAATTCAACCCATAACAAACTGCTTCTGGAATGAACTACCTCTGCCAGAGCGAAGGAGCAGCATTGCTGGATGCTGATGACAGGAACAGGGGGCCAACCAGAAATAAACCAAAAGCAAAGAGGAAAAAGTCTCTTCTTCCTCATCTAGCCCTGCAATCTCCCTCCGACGTCCCTCATTGACAGAGCCTAAAAGAAAGCAGCTGGCCAAGGAAGAATGTTATTCGCAGAATCCCAGTCCCTGCATCACAAAGCAGAATACAGACGAGTGGGTTTGAAGCTGAGAGATGATAGTTTAATAACTGACACAGCGCTGAATAGTTTGTACTTATTAATCACTAGCATCAGAACTTTTCTTTTCATTTTCCACACATTTTATAATATAAAAGGAAAAATTGCAATAAAATATTTAATGGAACAGACATACTGGCTATGCTGTTAAAGCTGTACTGACGGCCGGTGGGCTGGAACATCACCGTGCCTCAGCTCACGTTCTTCTGTCCACTGATATACAGCAGTGTACGGGTGGCCTTCAGAACTGAACTGCCGAAGGCCAACGTGTAATACGTAGGGTGTGTAAGAAAACAGAAACATTGGAAGTCAAGTCGTCAGCAAGTGTTGTCTCCATTTTGTAGCTCAGGAGGTGAGAGTTCAGAAGGGGAGGTCATTTGCCCAGTGTCACACAGCAAATAAGTGATAGAGCATGGATTTGAGCTGGGGCCTGATTCTCTGCACCTCATCTGCCAAACGAAGATGACAGTACTTACCCAGAAGAACTGTTCTGAGGATTAAATGAGTTAACATGTGTATTGTGCTTAAGACACATCCTGGCAAGTCACAAGAGTACAGAAAATGTTGGCCGAGTCTGGGGCTTTTTCTACCATCCCAGGCTGTCCCATCACACACAGTCGTCAAAACTTTGTGGCATTTGGAGGATAGAACTGCAAAGAATAGAGATAGGGTTGGGAACAAAATTCCTTTAAATTTTTAAAAAATCATAATATATTTTGCTATCCAATCTTTCTGCAGGGAGTCATCCCTTTTGGACTCCCAGGATCTAGTGACAAACATTGATGGAGCAACAGCCACATGGTAAACACTGAGACAGAGAGAGTCCCACCTTCAAGTGACAAGCAATGACAACACAGAAAAGGGCTGTGATGGAGGACATCTAGTGTGGGAGCCTGTATCAGGGAAGCCTGATGTGGACTTGAGGAAGAGAAAGCTTTCATGGAGGAAGTCACCTTTAAGTTGAAATCTGAAAGACAAGTAGGAGATTGGTAAGCATTTCAAACATAGGTGAGAACTTGAGAAGAAGTCTAGAGGCAAGAGGGAGCAAGGAGTATTCAAAGAACTGAAGGAGGCTGACTGTGGCGTGCAAGTTGAGGTGGGCAACAGACAAAGCTGGCAAGATCCCCAGAGCCTGTTCCTGAAGGACTATGTGAGCCACAGGACCCTGGACATTATCTGGATGATGGTGTAGGACCACAGAAGGGTTTTAAGCAAGTGAGGGACCATTAGACATGCACTTTAAGAAGATCAGCTCTGGACGCAGCATGGGGGATGGTTTGGAGTGAGGTAAGAGGGGAGGTGGGGAAATCAGAAAAGCTGCTACCTGCCAGCAAAAGCCAGATGAGAATTGACAGAGGTCTGAGATAGAGAAGTGCCTGGAATGGAGAAAAGCACATGGATTCAAGTAATATTTAAAAGGTAGAGCCCACAGCATTTGGGAGGTGATTAGAAGAAAGGAGTGAGGGGCAAGAGGAAGAAGAAAAGAGAGAAATAAAGGAAAACACCCAAGTTTCTACTTTGGGCGACTGGATAGATGGTGATATCCTTTACCAGGATAGGGGCACAGGAGGCAGAGCAGGTTTAAGGCAGAAGAAGAAGGGCTTAGGTTGAGGTTTAGGGGTTGAGTTTGAAATGTGAAAGGGTCATCCCGATGGAGATGATCCCTAGGTAGCTGGATTCTTTGTAAATCATCACGTCTTATTTTCCCACTTCTACTGGTGACCAGTCCCACTTCTCCAAGCAGCTGAGCTCTCTATGAACCAACCAATAAGTGCCTTGAGTACCACCTGCTATCTAGAGTATTATTAGCCTCTCATTTTAATAACCGATACATTTAAATTTGCTCCCCTCCAAAGTTCATCCTTAACGAGAACAGGATGTGGGTGTACCCCACACATAATTATATATGTATTGTGAACTCTATTTAAAATGAGACCATTGTTATTCAACTGTTAGATACTTTCTAAACCCATACCGATTTTGTGCTCTTTATTTTGCTACCACCAACTAGGATAGAGGGTCCCATTTTTTTTGTAATGTTGTCCTGTCTTATTATTCTTCACAAAAGTAAACACTAAGAAATGGAACACAAGTTATTTGAATTTTTATTCTTGAAAGGAAAATTCTAAGCTTCACAACATCAAATCAGGTTTCTTAATCTGAGAATATGGCCAGCTTAGATTCAGAAAACGTAATGGCTAGAACATTTACATAAGTGGATATTACTTTTAATTCAGCAATCCCTATATACAAGGCTCTGTTTAACAAATTTTGGCCTGCTTTGGGGGAAAGATACCTAAGTGTAATTCTGGTCTCCTCCACAATGGGTCAAGTAGCAGCTGCAGTAGAGGAAGCGGTGAAGTTTTTTCAGGTGTAGGCTTCTCCCAGGTGGGAGCTGCTTTCCCCAGAAGGAGCGGTGGCCAAGCCCCAGGCAGAACATCCAGTGGGACTACACCTTTGAAGACTGAGAGAATAGGAAAGCCATAGCCCACCCAATCCAAAGGAATAATATATGTTGAGAGGGATTCAAAGAAGCCACTTCCTCCAGGAAGCCTTCTCTCATTCCATTCAACCCCATTTGCTCACATAGAACCCAAGTGCGATGGCACTTGACACCCATTATTGGAAACATGTGTTCTAGTGCCCATTCCTCCACTACACCAGTGTGCAGTGTGAGGGCAGACACTGCGCCTTGGACATTTGCATCTCCCTAGTGTCAGGCACAGTAGATACTCAATAAAATCTGATAAATAAAACAGTGAATGCCCTCGACACATGTTTCTCAGGCAACTGTAACATCAATAAAGACACTCTGATGCTTAAATACATAAAAACATGTAATTTTATAAAATCTTATTAACTCAGCTCTACTACTAAGGCAAACCCCAGCTCCCTGTAAATTCCTTTTAAAGAAGGAATTGTTTTAGATGTGCTCCAAATAAATGTGGTTTCACTTGATCAGCCACTATGTGAAGTTTACCTTTTCTCCTCTGCTCTGATCCACCTCCATGGGGCACCATTCATGCATCCTTCAATTCACGCGCATTTACTGACTGCATACTCTATGGCAAGCGTTGTGCTAAAGGCAGGATGCGCGGCACTGAACATAATAGAACCAGGTCCAGGCCCTCATGGAGCTTAGACCTGGTATCCACTGGCACCTACCCACCTCCAGAACTCCAAAGACCCTGAGACTGTCACGTGGGCATAATACATTTTTATCTTTAAGCTCTTGAAAGTGTAATGTGTTGATAAGGCAAGCCCGTGCTAATTCAAGAATATCTAGCGGTTTGCCATCCAGAGTTAAATAACAAGTCTGCTAAATATTTTAATTTTCCCAAGCCAACAGGGAACTGATCAATCCGAAGGGATTCATACTGAGGCACATCCAAGTTTCCTGTGGCCTCCCTCAGTGTGGGCACCTCCCCTGGGATATCCACCCTGATTGCCGTCTTAGAATAGCCAAAGGGAGACAATGATGCCCACGTCATGCAGCATCATTTGCCAAGGTCTTTCCATTGCCTGCTTACAGGCTGCCCTGGTGTGAATTCGGGAAAGGCGCCCCCTCTGGGCAGGCACTTGAGAAAAAGGCCTCCCTTCCTCCCTAGCAGATATAGCCCCACTCAGGGGCGCACAGCTGGGGGAGGGGAGGTCAGCCAGGATTTCAGTCCCAGCGTGCCCCCTCAGCACAGTCCCGCGCTGAAGCCCTGTTACCAACTCCCTGTTCCATGCACCGGGTACAAAATGCATTAGTGCATTTACATTACGTGTGTTTAACGTTCATAACTAAGGAAACCAGTTTTCCTGGGGAATTACTGAACTATATGGAAAGCCTTTCCTAAAATCCCAGCAGAAGCCACAGAAACTTTAAGCACAATTGAAACTCATTAAACTTTTTCCAAGACTACAACTCATTTCTGCTAAATAACTAACTCTTCAACACCTGTGACTTCACTGAGCTGTGAGCAATTCAGAAATGGAAAACGAACAGAGCCTCCCAGTTGTGCGTTTTGGGACTAAGGCCCGGCACCTCCCTGGACAAATATCAAGGTCCGTGTTCCCCACAACTCGCCAAAGTCACGTCACTGAGGAAGTGCAGTCTGGTAGCCTTTGAGTCTCTCAGACCTTGAACTCCCAGCAAGTCATTTTTCTCAAGCAGCAAGTCAATGAATCCCCTCATGCTAGCCACTCATTATATAAAAATAAGCCACTCGCTCTAGCCTTTGGGTTCAACCACTTCCGAATGCCCATAAACTGGTTATAGTTCAAGCACAGACCTGAGGAAAATGCATAATTTTAATCTTATTCTCCATCACACCATTCAATAAACCTCACTTGAAATGTGGCCCTAATGTCAGCTGGGGTAGCCTTGCCCCCTTTAAGATCTAGATAAGACAGACTCAAATCCCAATTCCAGGTCCTGTGGAAAGTCCAGGGCTCTCCTGAGATTTCTACAAATGGGGGCATGGCAGCCCTGATTCCCACCCTCCCCGGAACGGGCTCTCCATTCTGCGCTCTGGAGTTGCTCCTTTATCCTGGCCCTAGCGCAATTCACCCAGGACCAGCCCCTTCACTTGTGACTCTGAGAAGCAACTGTGAAAATGAGGCTGCCATGGGGAGGGTAATGGTCCCTCAGACACCCGGCACTGGGCAGATCTCCCAACCCACTCCTAGTCCAGACCTCCTGGCCTTGCTTGTGCCTCTCCCTCCTTCTCCTCTCCCCTCTTTCCAGTCACCACCACCCCCTGGTCCAAATTCTCCTCTCAGTTTGAGAGGAGCCATTCAGTACCCCTTTCCCAGGCCACCCCAGGCTCAACTTCCTAAAGCAAGCCCTTCAAGGGGCTCAGTTGAACAAATGGGCCATATGAGTGTTTCAACAGAGGCCTTGATTTTATAGGTTTTTTTCTTTAACAAAATTCACCGGCCCTGAAGACAGCTGTGGTTTCAGAGAGCCATCTTCTCTTTGCTTTTGTTTTTCTGATGAATGGCACAATGGAAATCAGGGGCTTGAACCTCCTTCTTCAGCTTGATTAAACAGTGGAAACCGTTTCTCTCTCCCAGACCAGGTGTCTGGTCTATGGTAAGTGCATTCAACTTTTCCAAGCTTAAAGTACTGAAATTGCAAATCAGCAGGTGGTTTAGACCTACTGGTTTAGAGTGCTAGCTACCTAGGGTTAAAGACAGAAAGAGTTTAGTTTAAAATCTCGGTTGGGCCAGTGCCCGAGACCTGGTGCCCTTTGGTTGACGAGCTCCGTGGGACACAGCCTGTCTCAGGAGCACTGCTGCACAGTGGCTCCTGCCCACCTGGATGTTCGATGGGCTACACGTGGCAAAGGGCCAGCCTCGTTTACTCTTGTGGCTTCTTTGGGTGACAGTCATTCTGTTGTTTCCTCTGATCCTTCTCTGCCATCCTTGCTCACACATCAAAAGCAGAAAGGGGGCAGCTTCCAGGCTCAGCCTTCCATCTGTGTACCCTGTACAGCTACTTTAAGGCCTCACACCCACCCCCAGAATCACACAAGCCCCACAGGGAAGGGAGACTTCCGCATAAACTTGCTGTTCACATCCTTTGTTTTGAACAAGTCCCTTCTGATGCTGCTGCTTGTTGGGGGATGATTTTTGATTCTCCACCCTGGCCATGTGGCCTCAGACTGCTTCAAGCAAAGAGCCCTCCCTACCCGACCTGCCGGGGATCCTCATGCCCTGGCCCCGCTCTTGTAAGTAGAACATTCTCCTGTCCTGAGAATGGCATCGGGCCACCATGAATCCACAGTCCCAGGCCCAGGAGCGCTTGCTCCTCCCTGGTTCCCTTGTCCCACCCCCTAAAACCCCCCAGCAATACCTCCCCCCAGGGCTGCTAACGCAGCCCTGAGAAGAGGCCTCAGCCACGTAGGCTGAGCACTGACAGCTGCGGCAGCACTGTCGCGGGGCCACTCCTTGCCCGGTTGCCGTTGCTGGAACATTTTCTGGCAACTGAATGCAGCTGCTTAATTTCTCCGTGCAGTTTGTGCTTCCATGGCTGTGACTCTCGGCGGAGGCAGAATGAGTAGTGTTTTGGTTCCCTGCCTGATGAAAGTGATCCACATCCAAGGACACATTCCTTATGTGATATGTACTGCTTTTTCAACTATCTCTGGCAATGGTGAGCTCAAACAGCAGAAAACGCCACTGCTGATGGCAAGGATTACGAAAAAGAGACTCTGCGGCTCAAAGAGGTCATGCTGTCTGGGAAAACGCCCCCACAAAGACATGCAGAAATTTTCTTCCAGCCCTTTGGATGCCTGCAGTCGTGAAGCCAGCTGGAAGCCAGGCCCAGTTTGGGGCAGCGACAGGGAAGAAGGCAGCAGCTGTTACAGGGTAAAGTCAGACAAAATGCAGAGGGGGCCAAGAGGCTGGTGTGAGGTCAGGCAGGGTCAGGCAGGACATGGATCAGCTCAGGCCTGTAAAATGCCCGTGAGCTGCGGACTTACAGGAATGGCCCATCTAAGCACTGTCAAAGGTGAGAAAACTCACTGCAGGGATCTAACGAGACTTCCTTCATAGAGCGCCACCACCAGATCCACTCTCTTACTCTCTGCTACTGCGGGCTCCTTCAGGGAGGTTGAAGAATCCCTGTTTCCTGTTATCAGATGCTTTTACTAACAGGAAACTCTTTTTCCTAGTTGGTGGCATATTGAATGAATGAATGGATGGATGGATGAATGAACGAATGAATAAGAAAGCAAGAAGTATGTGCAGGTGTATTTCGTAGATAGAACCAGTAGCAAGGGTTGAGTTTAAGGCCAGGATTTATCACCCTCCCCAAACTATCTCTGAGGACCACACTGACTGTTGAGTTTCCAGTGAGGTTAGGGGTATGATTTTCATAGACCGGTACCACAGCAACAGTACTGATAATGTGATCATTTGTCGGAGAGCTGCTGCTATGTACCAGACATTGTGTCATACGCTGTATTAAATAGG